GGAGCGGGGCGTGGGCGGCGGCGGGGCGGGGCGGGCGAGCGAGTCGGCACGAAGCGACAAGCGCGCAAATGAATGAACATCTCATCGCCACTCTTGTGCGGTCCCATAAAGCCGACCGCGTCACACACACGGACACGCCGCTCGACATTTGCGACCGACCATGGTCACTGCATTCTACCTAAATTTTGTTTATGCAGGTCTTTGTATTAGTCACCCCTCCAAAATCAATTTTAAAGATTTAAATTAGGGCGGTGCATAATAGTTCAAACTGAGTGGCGTGGACGAAGCGAAGCTTCCGAGCCGGGACAACTTTGCCTGCGACGGCAAAGCCCATTGCAGATTTGAGACAGAAAACATTTTTTGCTTCTGAAGCAAAATAAAATTGCTACTAATTGCTAATGATTTAGCAACGATTGCAGCTGTGACAGATCTAAAACAATTAAAAACTCAGGCTCTGCTGCCGCCCCCGGGATCACGCCGATAGGCCCGGCCCCTTGCGTTTGGTCTTGTTGACAGTCCACCGGGCCGCGCCGCGGTTAGTGGAAGGTGGAAACAGTACCACTCACGAGTTGGCCAGGAAAGGAGAGCGGGAGGACAGGGGAGAGAAACAGAAAAGAAAGAGGGAGAGACGAAGAAGATAGAGAGAAAGGGATGGGAGGGAGAGGAAAATAGTGGGAGAGGGGAAGGGAGGGAGGCGCAGGTCGATATGCGTTGTGAATGAGTGCCGCGGAGAGCGGGAGAGAGCGGGCGAGGGGAGAGGCCGGGGGGGAGGGGTCGTAGGGTCGTAGAGGCAAAAGAAGGGAGAGGAGGGGAAACAACGAGGAGAAAAGGGTGACGAACGTTTTCTATTTGCCCTCCTCTCCCTAGACAGCTGCTACTCTCTTCCTTCTCCCCCCCCCCTCCCCCCTCCCCCTCTTCTCTCTGTTCCTCTCACGCTCTGCACCCTTCCTTTCTGCGTCTCGCTCTCTCTTCCCCTTGTCCTTTGTGTTTATTCTCCGCCAGCTACTCCTTTTCTCCTTGCAAGGACTTTAGAAGCCCCTAGCGCGCGCCCCAACCCCCTCACTGAGTAGGGGGTGGAGGGGTGGGTCCTCCCCCTTCCCCTTCTCTAGCACTCGGGCCCAGCGCACCCCTTTGCGATCAATCCATGCCCCTCCTCCCCCTCCCCT